TTGACTTTGCAAGAAACACGAACAAAATTACTGGCAGGCGGTAGCAGCAGCAGTAGATAGCAGTCGAATTAGAACAGACTATGACATGATCGTTCAAGCCAAGCGAGCTGTGAAAAGCTGGCTGGAAAAGCAATGTGCCTTTTCCAGGAATTGGCAAGTGTCCTATTTGGGTGGCCTTTTGATACCATGGTGAATGCAAGAGCCTCCATCGACGAACGTTCCTTGTAGGGAAAGGGCGCTTCTAAGCTTTTGCCGCCGGCTCACACCCCAACTCCCGTCAATGAAAGATCCTTTGGAACCCAAATCAAGCAAACGTGGTCTTCCTGCAGTGCAAAGGGCTTAAATGCCCCCTGGAGCAACTGATTATCGCTCGAATGCACAAGACCATTCCTGACCCGTACTTACAAAAAACTGAGAACCTAGAATGATTGCTGTTTACGATTTTCTACCTTGTCGAGTGATTTCAATGCAGAGCCGCACCGAAAGGGCGGGTAGCTGTTTATCGTTGAGGGTGATTGGCTTGATGTTTCTGCGCGAAGCACCCGAACAGTTCTCATGTACCATGTCCAAACGTGAAGAGAACATTCCATGTACCATGTCTGATTTTTTAACTCGTTCCGCTTTCGTTGACAAATCACGGTCTGATCTGTTTGCATGGCTCAACGTTTACAAACATGTCTTGTATGCTGCGGAACAGATGTGGTTGCCATGTACATGAAACACGAAATTTCGGTCTCCCCAAAGCTGCATGATGGTAGTGACGTGAACCGGAGAAGCTGACATGCACTGAGCCTGCAAATTCATTGAATTGTGGCCTTAACTATTCCCTTGCCCTCTCGATCCCTTTCGAGTGTTGAGAGGCGCTTGTACCTCGAGTTCAATACCTTTGGAGCTTCCACGCAAACCTTTCGTGGAGCTTACCCCAGCCTTTGCTTAACCCCCCACATGCATTCCCCGCTTCACGCAAGCATTGCGTTTCAGTGCCGGTTCCTGCCACAGCGCGCGTGGTATTCTCGGGCTCACGTATGCGTGTTCGCTACAAGCAGAAGGTCGCCAGATTGAGTGCTGCTTGAAAGAAGCACAAGAAATAAGGCCAGCCTTTGCTAGTTCCAAACTGGATGACGTTTGGTTTGTGAAATACATGATGGTTCGTTGACACCGCTATTTTTTGCTTGCCATCTGGCAAAGCGTTTAATCCGCTCAACCCTTGGGGTTGAGGAGTCGGTTCGGAAGCCGCAATGTGTTGGGCTCGAGACGGTTGAAGTCCGACTATGGTCGAGTTCTCACTCGCGTTGGTTGCTTTCGTGCAGGTCTTCGCAGCATCCGCGTCCGGCAACTTGGGGTCCTCCGAGTGCCCATGCATTACCAACAGCTCTTCCACGTACGCAATCTATGAAGCTCTCGTAGCCGCAACAGACGGGCTCCCTGCATCTTTTGGCTTGACAGGCTGTCAAGCATATGATTCAAACCTCGCCAAGTACGGGTGCGCTCAAAATGCAGAACCCTACTGCCGCAACCCATGGTGCTACGTGGATCCGGAGTTATGCCCAGAAAACAAGGAGCTTTGCGAGGCGGCCGGCGGGGAGTTGGGAAGCGATGTCTCGCCCCACTGTCGCACTCGGAGAACTGATGTGAGTCGGAGCCTTTCCAACGTTTCCGGCCAGTACAGCTACGAGACGTGTGGCTCCGTGAACGTGTACGACACTTCAGAGCTCAACGGACCTGTGGCTGCGCGACGGCTGCGGGTAGCAGCTACAGCTTGGGCACCATGGATCGTCACAAAGCGGAACCTGAGAGGCGAGGAAGAGCTTTGGCCAGATTTAATTGCTGCTTCAATTTCTTTTGAGCATCGGCAGTGCCGTAGGCCGAAGATCGTGCAGTCAGGAGTGGGCCGGTCCGATGTATGACTTCTTGGAGGAGACCTTGGACGCCTTTGATCCAAACCCAGGCATCAACATCGTTCCAGGATGGGCCACGCCAGAGTCCAGGGCTAAGTATCCGGAGAGCAGCTACACTGCGTGTGTGCACGATGTGGCCGTTGGTAACTTCGACATCTGCCTCGCAGACCTTTGGATCACACCGGAAAGGAACCAATTGGTCACATTCCTACCGGCTCTGAGGAACGACCACTTTTATCTGGTCGTCCCCAAGACTGAGGATGCGCAGTCTGGTGTTACCGGGTTCTTGTTAAGAAAACGTTATAGTAGGGATCTGTGGCGACATTAGGGTTTCCTCCTTATGGTAACTTAGACCAGGTCCCTTAAAGTCTTATAGCAGAAGCCAGGTTAGCTTGTGGGCTCGCCTCGAGCGACCTTTCTTGCCCTTCACCCTCGATGCGTGGATGGCAGTTTCTGGCTTTCTGTGCGCCATGTCAATCCTCCTCTACCTGAGACAGCTCTGCGAAACGGGCTGCGAGTTTGATGGGAAGAACAAGTGCACGGGGAATGTCGTTTCATTCCTCCAGTCTTTGCTCCTAAACCTTCATAGTCTTAAACTTTTCTCTGCGTCTTAAAAGCCACATTGTCTAAAACATGGGCCTCTCGAGCAGGTTCTATGTCTGGCACGACTTCCTCCTTGGGCAAAGTAGCATCCTCGTGGCTGAGTTAGCGTGCTTTGAAATTCTTTGGATGATATTATCCCTGCTAGAACTGGCAAGTACACACTATTCGGGATAATCAGAAGAGCTGAACATTGAAACTCTCTGGGGCGTGTGAAATCGGCAACTGAGGTATGGACGTGGATAGTGGCCCTGTGCGCAAGATCTTCAGCTCCCCGCATAATCCAACATGTATGAGAATCTTACTGCAGAAACACATGAAATACTGCAGAAATCGGATCCCTATATATACCCATAGTGACAGCATCATGGCTTCTTGGTTGTTCACTAGCTGCGAGTTGTTTCCTTTTTGGGGAGTTGTGTCTTTCTTTTGCACGACATGCTCAGGCTTGGCTCTTGCGTTCTTCATTCTCATTACGTTGGCAAGCTACACCGCAAGCTTGGCATCTTTGTTGCTTGCTTCGCTGAAAGCACGGTTTTTGACATGAATCCCGTCTTCCTCTAACAAGCCGCAGACTAGGGTTGTTCCACATCAGAAGTTCCCGTTTCTGTTTGTGCAGACGATCTCAGTTCTAGAAGACTATGTGGTGCTACCAGTCTTCATTTCATACCCAACCTGCGTAGATATTGTGCTGGAGGCTGGTGGTGAAGAATCAGGCCAGCGGCGGTGTTGAGTCAATCGAGGAAGCCATTAAGTCCGGCATGACGATCTGCACGGGCACGGCGTTGCTGCCGACCGTCAGCACCGTGTACCCTCGGGGAAAATTTCTGGGCGTGCAGATGCTGGGCTCTTGTTAAAGGGTTTAATCTAAGGTACCACAATAAAGAAACCATATTATGTACAATAGATCCCAATTATGGTAACTTAAAGTAAATCCCATAACAAGAACCCAGGATGTCGGCCGCACCTCGCACACTCTGGGCCGGGAACTGCTCGGCCATGGTCATCACCGAAGATGCGATCAGCTCTATGTTCAGTGGAAAGTTCAGGGAGGATGACTGTGCAGCGGTTGAGGCCGGGAGCCTCACAGCAGCAGAGGCCCAATGCAGGGAGCCAGGTCGAGACTGCCAGCTCGCCCAGGTAGGCGAGCTTCTTTGGAGTGTTCCTATATCTTTCCCCGTTAACCCCAAGATGGCACACAGCTTCTCCTGGGCTTTTACGTCCGCGATCACGCAGGGCAAATTCGAGGATGCGAAACGCAGCCATGTTCAGCTCTTCCCAACCTCCGCGTGCCAAGTCGAGGAGAGGACCCTACAGCTGACCTCTGATGACCTGATGCTCGCTTGAGCTTGAGACTGTTTTCGCTTGCCTAGGGCATCTAGCAGAAGTGTTTTGTTGCTCAGCCTCCTTCCTCACCTTAGCACGACGAAGGAGCGGCACAATGGTTATCTCCTTCACCCTCATGCTCGTAGGCTTCGTTGTCATGGGATGTCGACAACTTCGCCGCAAGCAGACGAAGAGCGGAGGACGTGAGGAGACTGAGGATCCCGAGGAACCCAAAAAGACCAAAGAGACGAAAGATACCATCTAAGTGGTACGGTATAATTATAAGTAGTCTTGAATATGTACATGTTCTCACAAAATGTTTTTGTATATAGTATGCTACATATATGGTAGGGTGAAGACCCTAGGCCTTCCCGCAAAAGCGGGGGCTTTTCACTTCTGTCCAGATGCGGACACACAAAACATCGTGCTTAAATCTTCAGCACCCTGCGGCTCTTCCGAGGGAGCCCTTACGCAAACGCGTTCCTTTCGGTTATAAGACAGGCTCGAAGCACTGTGCTCAGCACCCTGGAGTTCTTTCAAACCGCTCAGCCCTTACGCAAACGCGTGGGCTTCTCGCCTCCTTTCGGTCATAAGACAGGCTCGAAGCACTGTGCTCAGCACCCTCGAGTTCTTTCAAACCGCTCAGCCCTTACGCAAACGCGTGGGCTCCTCGCCTCCTTTGGTTTTTGGAAAGGCTCGAAGCATTGTGCCTGAGATCTTCAGCTCCCTGGAGTTCTTTCAAACCGCTCTCGAAAAAGGCCGTTCTGGATCTTCAGGGACCATGCCCGGTGTGTGCTGCATGCAAGCCTGCATGTTCTTGCCTGTCATTGATTGGAAGCTTCTTGGCCCTCAGTCCCGGGGCTCCAGTTGAGTTACCACGCCAAGCAGTGGGCTTTAGCGTAGGAAGCAGGAACCTGTAGTTACAGCTGCCATCGATTCCATGGCCTCCTGCCCTGGCCTAGCCTTGTAGCGAGACTGATAGTGCGAAGGTCTCAATGTGACCCAGAAGTCCTGTTTCTCATCGACCAGTCTTGTTACCGCCATGACAGCAGAGAGAGCATCGTGGCCGGAGTTCCGCAACCGCCGACGTTCTGCATCGTTGAAGTGTTACTGCAAGCCCTGAGGGATCGGCTTCTTGGCTCACGAGGGGTTTGGCGAATCTCAAAACGTTCGGACATGTTTGAGCCAGAGATTCTTCTATTTCTGCAGTTTCTTCTGGTGGATGCAACTTCTTGGGTGAGATGTTCCAATTGGCACCGGCTGTCAACTGGCAGTGAATCAGGAGGGCGGGGCGATGCTGACTCTTGCAAATGTGTCGAGATTGCACAAGGGAGGTTCGCGGGGGGAGTCGTTGAAGCTTGTGCGTCGGAAGCTCTCCAGCATGCAGTGTCGGCGGAAACGGCTTGGATCGTGTTCCACGTCGGCACGGACGATGAAGCATTGGGGCAAGGCCGCTGCATCGTCGAACGTTGTTTTGGGCAGTGTGTTGGCGCTTCGCGTCAGAGGTATGCATCTTCGCTTGGGCACGAGGAGGATCGCGAGGTGCGCAGCTTTGTACCACAGGAGATGTGTCCGGAAGGAAGCTCCGTGATCCTTCCGGAGTTGGGTGCTCTTGGGGGGGCGGATGGAGTGCTCCGGCCCGAAGCAGCGGAGCTGGAGTTCCTCCGGCTTTTCGGCCCGCTGAAGCTTCAGAACCAGACGCTTCAGTCACTTCGCATGGAGTGTATCGAAACTGCACACCGAGCAGTTGCCAAAGTCTGCCTGCAAGATGGCTGCGACGAGTGGAGCAAGTATTCGCTGCCCCGTTGCATGGTCTCTCTCGGGCTTCCCTATGACTTCGGAGATTCGTCTTTCTTGTACTCGCCCTCTTGCGAACGAAGTGGCCAGTACTACTGTCCTCCTGGTCTGCCCCTCAGTTATCTTTGGCAGGGCGTCAGGGAAATCCGAGGTAACAGTCGAGGCCAACCACACAAAGAACCCGAGAAGAGCTGCTTAGAAAGACCGTTGCAACCTCCTCAAACCTCAAATCCTAAGCCCTCAAACCCCAAAACCCCGAACCTTATCCCCGAGACCCTACATCTACTAAACCCTAAACCCCTAAGCCCCTAAACCCTAAACCCTAAACCCTAACCCTGAAGCCCTAAAGCCTTCAGACCCCAACAAAAAAACCCCGCACGACCGAGGCCTCCCCCTGGCTTTGAAGCTGACACTGAAGCTTTGCCCCATCGTTGGGTAAGATTTTACATGTTCATGGGTTCTTAAACCCAACCAGAAATATGTTCATGGGTTCTTAAACCCAACAAGAAACATGTTCATGGGTACTTACTTAAACCCAATAAGGAAGGAAAAATGTACATGTTTAAATCCTATCCCGACAATGAACTAGGAAGGCTGCCTGCCGATCTTCCACCGTCTGGGCTGCCATGCTGGAAGGCCTCATCCCTGGGATCCTGGAGAGTTTCAGTACGATCTTTCTTGTTATTCTCATGATTATGATTATTTCTGTTATTAGAACTTCTATTTATGCGGCTAGTATTGCTGTTATTGATATTATTAATATTACTATTATGGTTGTTATTGTATTATTCCTATTCTTACGTTTAGTATTCTAAAACGAGGGGCGCATGGGGTTGTACAGGGGCTTGCAACCGTCTTTGGGTGTTTAGAGGGTCTTGTTGTGAAATGTGGGCCGGTTCTTCAGGGGGGCTAAACATTAGGATGTCAATGTATGTATATCGTAAAGAGCTGATGGTGTTGAGAGATCCTGGGCTTGTGTTCAGGAGCTTGGTTGGTGCTTTATGGGTTTCGTTTAAGGGGGCTATGTGGGAGTTTCCGAAAATGGGGAATCCTAATATAGTACACTAAATAGTAGGAGCCTTATTATAAGGACCCCAACATAAGGGACCCCTAGTGCCCGGAAACTCCCATATAGTGCGAAGGAGCCTGCAGCTTTCTATAAGATTGTTTTTGAGGGTCTTCAGGCGTTTCGAGGCTCTTGAAGAAGTTACTGCGCAAGTTGCCATCATGAGCCATCACGAGTAGTGCTTGGTGTGTCTTCCTGATCATGGTAGCTTTCCTTAAGTTCGGGGAAACTGCTAAACTCTACGCCGAACTCAGAACCCTTTCAATCCTGATGGAATCCTGAAAGCGAATCCGTTGAGAACCCTCGCTTTTGGGAATCCTCGTGGAATGTGCTTGGAATCTTTCTGAAACCCTTTAGAACCCCATGCTATAACACCCCAGCAACCCGTTCAGGACCTTTGTAAAGCCCTGCAGAACCTTGAAAACACCGTAACACGCTGGAGTGTTCTTTTGGAGCCCAGGATCGTTGCTGTGCGCCGCACTTTGGCGGTAGCTCTGAGCTCGGACCAGGAAGGATCGAACGTGGCACGCTATGCGCACGATCCTGGGTCTAATAGGGTTTGTAAAAGGGTGTTACGCTTTTGTGCATTGTTATATTGGCTGTATAGGGTTTACCAGGGTTTCATAGGGTTTTTATGAGGGTTCTAAGACACCACTATGGTGGTTGCACGGCAGTGATGATGGTCGTTTGAGGGTTTATAGGGTTCCTCGAGGCTTCGGAGGGTTTCTTATAGGGTTTGCTGTTAAAGGATTCAGTCTAGCCACTGCAGTGCAATTTTGCTACACGGGTTGCATAGGGTTGAAATAACTTAAGTAGAGATGCTGGATTTAGGAAATCATGTCGACGCCGAAAGCGGGTTGCTTGAAACCATACAAAGTCGTCGTAAAACACGAACAAAATCCAAATATGGTGAAAACCACAGCACAGTTGACTATCTTAAATCTCCGTAAAACCCAAGGGAACCCAATTGTAGTTTAAACTTTAGACGAACTCTGAAACCCTCGCCGCAAGACCTGAAGCCTTAAAACAGCAACCAACCCACACCCCAACCTCCAAACCGAACCCCTAAACCCTGAACCCGAAACCCAGGACTGGATCACGCAGGAGGAGATGCGTTTGGGATGCTCACCTGAGCTCATGATGTTCGGTCTCTCCAGGCGGGGTTCGTGAAAATAGATCCTATTGGTTTCAAAAGGTTCATTGCGTTCTAGAGGTTTTCTCGTTTGTTTAGGGTTTGTCAGTCCATTTGCATGCATGTGAGTCTGGCTTTATGCCTGTATCTATATTGTTATTGTCCATGAATGCAACACATGCAGTCGTATGTTACCGGAAAGAGTGAGTGTAGTGCAACGGAACATACTGTACTTCACTGTAATATAAAGCATGAAACACAGGCCGTGTTTTGTAACATAATGCAACGCAATGCAACATGATGTATGTGTGAGGGTGTCAGTGCATACCGTTCAGAAATGCGTGTGTGCACAAATCATTGCCAGGGTCATTGTTCATTAGTATCAGTACACAAAGGCGTACATACATACTTACGTAATAAATATGTCCATACATACACCTATATTCTTTCTCTCTCTCTATATATATGTATATGTATATGTCTATATACATGTGTGGCATATATATATATATATGTGCATATATATATATATATATATTTACATATGTATGCACTCATATATACGTAACATGTCACATGAACATATATGTACATATACATTTGCTTTGCGGGCTTTCAGAGGTCCGTACGCAGCTTAATTATAGTGCAGACTCGTCCCTCATGGCCCTAAAGGGGAGGGACAGGCGATGTTCCCAGAAGCATTTCGGGGCATGGATCCTCACGGCTTTGCCATCGATCGCAGCATCCCATGCTTCTCTAAGCACCGTTGGAATCAGAGGCCAAAAGGACTCACTCACGGTTGCTACAGTTAGTGCTTCACTGTTGCAGTTTAAAGCAACGTCCCGGCTGCACAGTTTGTACAAAGCACCTTCTGGGGTCTCGTGAGGGCCTTCGGCAACACCCAGGGCTTCGTTCCAGTTGAAGTCACTCAGCCTGGAACAGAAAGCCTGCAGGGAATCAAAGTGCTGTTCACGAAAATGGACGTCGCCATCTGTAGCATCGCCTGGTCTGTACGTGGCCAATGCATCGATCAGAACAGCATGCACCTCAGCCGGCCAGTAGTCCTCGAGGTCACTCGGATTCAGACCTCGAAGCTCTTCACTCGTGTAAGCCGCGATCTTAACCTCCTCGTCCGGGAAGAGCGGGTGGTAGCCAAGGGTGCGCGTGACAACATCGGTGATCGCCGAGCGGTCGCCAGGGAGTGTGCTCACCAAAAGCGCGTCGCAGAGGGCACGATGCGCCTCCTGGAGGGTCGCGTCCCATCGTGCCGGGCGACCAGGAGGTAGAGGGTCAAGTGCAGGCGCCGGCACGGCCAAGTGGCATGTCTCCTCCTCGATCTTATGCCATGCACGACTGCCTCGGCCAGGCGCGTTCACGTTGGACTGCATACCGTGGCCCTCCAAAGTAGCGACACAACCAGGGTGATCCCTCAGGTGAGTTGCGAGCTTGACGGTAGACCAATATTGGCGCCCGCATGCTCTGCAAATCGTACCCTCAACATAAGGGCGGTGTTTGGCCTGTCGGCCATGCGTCTTGAAGAAGTGTGCTCCAAGCGCCGCCCGCGTGCGGACCGTTCGACCACACGGCCGGCAACGCCAGTCACAAGGCTCTCTCGGCCCAGGCCGGCGGCGGAGCAGACGGCGGTGAAGCGCCCACAACTGCAAGTTGACGAACTGCTCGTCCTTGAAGTTCTCAAAGTCCCGCGCAAGTAGTCGGCGCACCCTGTTTTTGACCCAGCTCGTGCGCTTCGCGAAGAGCGCGTAGAGCTCTGGCCAGCCACGTCAGCCGTCGGGCCTTGTAGGTCACCTTCGCGCAGCCATCGCAGGTCTCCCCGGACCGCCTCAAGCCAGGTTTGCTCCGTCTGTAGGGCCGCCCACCACGCGCATTCGAGGGCTTGCACGTCTGTCCCATCACCTGGCATAGCAAAAGGCCCGCTCTCAACATCCGCTTGTAGGACTTCTAGCAGACCCTCGCCAGCAGCTGCTTCTCGGATGCGGCACAGAATCTTGCCCAAGACAAAGGCGAACACAAGGTCAGCCCAGGCCTCGCCTGGACGAGAGCCCGCTTGTGTCACACACAGGCGCTCAGAGGTTCCGTAGCCTGTGATGAACCATGACTTGTGCGTCAAGTCTTTGGCGAGGTGTCGGAGTGAGCTCGGCAAGGTGGACTGCCCCATAATTCCACCACGGTGGATGTCATCCCAAAGCTCTCCGAGGTCATCTGGCGAGAGACCGAAGTACTTGAAGACCTTAGCGACCGTCTCGTCGTCCTCGATCAAGCCAACCGACATTTCGCGAATGACGGTATAATATGCCGATTGGACATCCAGGAACAACACTCCGGTCGAGATGTTGTCTTGGCGACCCCGTCGAAGAATGGACTGGACGAAGAGCGCCGGGAGGGTGACTGGTGCCTGCTTCCGTGCTCCCATGCATCTGAAAGCTAAGCAGCATATCTGCCGCATGTTGGGTAGCCCGAGAGCGTAGCACCTTGTGAAACACCTTGCCGAGCATGGACGATACAAATAAAGATCTGTAGTTCGCCGGCTCGCGGACAGTGCCCTTTCTTTTCCAGGACTCCCGCAGGAGTCCGCCTCGCCACTGAATCGGCTGTCTCAAGGAGACAGTCGCTTTCAGAAACAGTGGAAAAGCCGCTTTGGTGATGCCAGCAGGGTCGGCTCGGAGTAATTCGCCTGGCAAACAGTCAAGCCCACAGGATTTTCGTGCCGGTGCGCACCGGAAAGCTTGCTCCACTTCGAAGTAGGACGGCAGTTCCCCAAGCGACCATCCCAGATCACAGTCAATCGTGATTTGGCGATCTCGTCCCGCGAGATAGTCCCCGTCAGTAGAACAACACCGCATTCCTGGGCACTGAATTGCTGTAGCCACGTCTCATCTCTGTCAGCTCGAGAGCTACAGAGCTGGCCATCAGGCCGGAGGAGGGCTGGCAGTGGCCGGTGGAAGGGGCGGGCTTGACGTCCACCTACTCCAGCCTTCTTGGCAATCCCGAGCACCTCTTCCGCTTTGGCAGTGCCATCCTTAGCCACCACACTGAGGAACTTCGCCTTGTCCGCTCGGATGCCACGCTTGATACGTCCAGTGGCAAAGCTGACCGCCGCAGCAGAGAGCTCGTAGAGGAGGCCGTACTTCTTGGTCAATTCCTGCACGCCATAGTTCTCCTCGCATTTCCATTGAAGGAAGGCCCGACAGAGAATGGCACTCCAAAGGCCTGCCCGGTAGCGCGTGCGCAACTTGTGCGCCACCTTTGCGCCACGAAGCGCCCAGATTTCCGGGGAGAGGTAGGCTGCGCGGAGGCCATGTTCATCACGACGAAAGTGTTTCTGCATGACACCAAGGAGGAAGTCCTGCAGGTGCTGACAATGCTGGTCAGGGTGGACGTGCCATCTGGGCGGAGAGTAACGCTCCAGTTCCTCAGCAATAATCTGCTTACCAGCAGTGGTGAGCATCTTCTCTGTGTCAAACCGCGGCCGCCAAACACGGCGCCGACCACAGCTTTCCCCCAATGATCCCTGTAGCTCAACTATCGCAGGCTGGTGATCGTCATTAGGGTTGAGAGTGTCAAACTGCGCATCGACGTAGCTGTGGGCCGCCCAGACTTCTGCAAGGCCACCAACGACGGTGAAGTCAATACGGTGCAAGGATCCTTGCGCATGTCGAAACGTGGCCGATGACCCCGTGTGGAGGTGCCGATAGGTAGAGGGAAACCAAAGGCCCAACTCGCATGCATGACGGAGCATCGCAGCTCCATTTGCATCCCCCTCACAATCGCCAGGGAGACGGCCATTCAGGTCAATACCCCCCAGCACCAAGCAGGAACGTTTGTATGGCCGCAAGATTCCCGCAAGGTTCTCAAGGAAGTCGTCGGCTGCAGCACCTTTGGAGCCGTCAGGGCAGTGGGCAGCAAAGACCACAACCTTTGGGCCACCAATGTCGATGACCGCGACAAGAAGGCGCGGTTGTTCGACAATGATCCGGATGTCCTCTTCTCGCGCAGGGACCTTGGAGCCATCCCGGGTCAGAAAGCCAAGGCTCTTGTTGAGCCAAATCGAGACCCCCCAGTGGAACTCGGAAGCGCTAGAGATGCGCGTGAAGGCTTTGCTCTCAGTGAGTCCTGCTGCCCCCCGGGCCTCCTGGAAGCATGCAACCTGCACGGAGAGGTCGACGAGTTGCTTCTCGTAGTACTTGTGGCGTCCTGCCAGGGTCTGCGCGTTGAGGGTGAGAAGCTTGGTCGAGAAACTGCCGAGCGTAGTTGCATGCAGTTCACTCGCATCGCCCGTGGTAGGGATCAGCTGGTCCGGCCGGATATGGGGGGCAGTGAAAGCCACGTCCTCATTCCAGCGAAGGCATTGTCCAGTCACAAGCGGGTAAATCTCACGCGTAGTATCCTGGGCTTCCAACGGGAGCCAAGAAAAGTCCACACGCTGCACCAACTCGCAAATCTCGGCCGGCGGGGCTGCGAGCATAGCGCTCTGTTTGGCAACCGCCTTCGCCAGGGCATCGACAAGGCCATTGTAGGGGTCGCCATTGTGCGCGCGAACGTGCTCAATGGAGATAGGGGTGCTCAGGGCATCACGCAAGAATTGCGCCAGGGCGCGGTTCTGTAGTCCAAGCCCTGCACCAGCATCCCACAGCCCCGTAGCACCACATCCTGCAACTTTGCAGTCGTAGAAGATGCAATAGGCAGCCGGGATCAGGAAAGCTCGGCTTTGTAGGCACCGCAGCATCGCCGTCATCAGCGCCGTTTGCTCAGCCTTCAGGGCCGGTGCAGCATCAAATGTCCAGGGACTTTGGGGGTTCCCTTGAAGTTGTTCGCCGAGCAATCCAAACAGCGCGGCAGAGCCCGCTGTCACCAAGAAGATCGCAACAGCATATCCACCTACCTTCCGCTGCTCATGCCAGGACCCATCTACATAGATATGGATCTCAGGCGGCTCGGCAGAGGTAGGCCCGCAGAGAAGGTCGCTCCAATGCCTCAGCTGAGACAGTGCCATTTCCGTTTCAGCGG